GATAATTTGAAAACAATTTTAAAGTTAAAAACTTAACTGATAATGGTGGTCACCAATAGTTAATTGACATGTGATAGTGGTTACTTATAGTTAAAAATATTTTATAATAGTCAAATTCAGTATACTTTAAAATTAAAAGGATGAAAGAAACTATAAGACATTTTTATTTTTTTTAAGAAAATGAAAATTCAAGGGTATTTGTATCATTATACATTAAAAAAATAAATACAATCAAATCATATGATACTTGAAAGTATTTTTACAAATTTGTGAGATTTACTTGTGAAAATTATGTATAAGTTTTGTGCAGTAAACTTATTTATGAATAATTCTCATGAAATTTAGAAATCATAGCTAGGTTCTTTAAAACCTGAATGTAATATAAAATTAGGATGTAAAGACAACAATGCTCCTGTTAAAAATACATTTTTACTGATGAAATAATTTACAACTATTTTATCAATAATTTTGCAACTATATATTAAAAAAATGATTTTTGACAATGACAAAAAGTTGCCACCAAAAGTGAAAAAGTGTGACTTTTCAAAGCTAAATAGTTATCACTAAAATGCTCGTCGCTTATAGTTTTTGGCAATAACAAATATAGTTGCTACCAAAAGTTTTGTCATCAAAAGTTTATTTTAAGTGGTCACCAATGTTGCCATTAAAAGTTTTTTTGGCAAAAAAACAAAAAAGCCATCTCATACCATGTCATTTGTTATATGTGCACCTCCTCATGCCACATCACCTCACCATGTGTGTGCCTCCTTATACCTTGTTACCTGACACCTTGTTCCATGTCACCCCATCAACCACCAGACATGGAGTGTCTCCCTTTCCAACTTTCCATTTCTCCTCCATTTCTTTAAAACAGCAACGTTTTGACTGTAAAAAAATTCAAAAAAATTAAAAGCAATTAAGCACCCTCACCCAAACCTGACTTCTCTCCTCCAACCATTTCCTGCACGCTATTTAAAATATTTTAAACATATCATCTTTAAAATATTTATTTTTTTATGTTTATTAAAATTATAAAAAATTAATAATATGTTTCGTTGTTAATTTGGGCAATTCAAATTTAATATGAATGGTCTAATTTAATATTATTTTTTATAAATTTTATAAATTAACTATTTAAATATATTTTAAACAGTGTAGATTCAATATTAAAATTATAAAAAATTTAAATATTAAATTTAGATCAATGATATAAAATCAAAATTGTTCAAATATTTTAAACAGTGTGCAAGAAATGGTTGGAGGAGAGAAGTTGGGTCTGGGTGAGGGTGCTTAGTTGCTATCAATTTTTTTATTTTTATTTTTTATAGTCAAAACGGTGCAGTTTTAGAAAAATGGAGGAAAAATGGAGAGTTGAGAAGTGGAGACATCCCAAGTCCCCAACCACCAGATGTGCACCTCCTTATTCCACATCACTTGACACCTTACTCCATGTCACCCTACCATGTATGTGCCTTCTCATGCAACGTCACCACACCTCACTCCATGTCACCCTGCCATATGTATGCCTCTTCATGCCACGTCACACCACATCACCAACATGCGCCACATCACATATTCATTATAAAATATAAATTAATTTTAACCATATTCATTAGCTTAAAAATTATTTTAATGAAAAAATTAATTTTAACCATATAAATTTTGTTAATAATCATTTTGAACAATTTTAAATTTTTAATGAATACTAACAGCTTTTCCAATGCAAAATAACTACAAGGATCTCAAATGTGATTATTCTAGCTAACCTCTAATTATTCTCTATCTCATAACAACAAGGCAAATTTGAATATTTTTTCATATTCTTCTAAGTAATAACCTGTTATAAAATCTTATTAGTAACTTCTTTTTTCATAACAATGGAAATCTAAACACTAGATAGAATCACAAGATAGAGCTCAACAAATATAGTAGACATAATGTGTATATTGAGCCAAGCATCAAGCACACAATGTGTTAAATGGTTTGCAATACCATTTGTATCTCACGTCATTTGTATAACTTTAACATTTCATTGCCATTTATATATTTGTATGTAAGTAAGTATTTATATATAACTTAGCCGGATTATCATTGAAAGTAATCATCCACTAAGATTTTAATTATATCATATTAAAATAATAGCTTAATAAGATCTTTCCTAAAAAAGATGAGCTATATATGTCTAAAAAAGATTATTATAATACAAAATTTAAAAATAATTTAATAATTAAACTTAACACATCTTCATTATTATTTATTTTGGTTCTTGATCCTATATATCATTTATTTTTATTCTATATATAAAATAAGAAATTTAATTTCATAAATATCTTTTGAATGATTTTATTTAATTTTAAATTTTTAAAATAATTTATAAGAATTTTTTTCTCATAATAATTTTATAAATTGTTACATATAATTTAAACTTATATTTAATTTTTTTAAAACATACTTTTAGTGAAAACAAATGTTGCTACTAGAAAAAATTATTATATAAATTATTTTCATAAAAATACTTTTGCCACAAAATGTTATTTTTTGATGGTAACTCTTAGAAGTCATCAACAAAGGTTCACTTTTGGCAACGACGATCTTTTAATAGCAACATTTAAAAGTTGCCTCCAAAAATCAAGTTTTGGTTGCGACTTTGGGTCACTTTCAAAGGTCAACCTTTGGCTGCGACATTTTTTATTGTCATAAAAAGTCATCACCGAAAGTTTTTTTTTGTAGTGATAATTTTAATTTTTTATAAATGTAACTTTACATGTTTAATAATTAAATTAATTATACATTACAGGTTTAATACTAAATGCATACAACTACATCATCAATATTAATTTACAACTATCACTTTAAAATTTTACAACTATAACTTCATATATCTAATATTTAAATTGATCATGTGTTATTAATAAAGTTTAATACTAATTATTTACAACTATTGTATCAATCAATTATAACTATCACTTTACTATTTTACAATTGTAACTTCAATATTTTTAATAGGGATAGTATTTTCATTGTATTCCAATTTTAAATTACACATAGGTCCTAAGGTTAGCTATGGTTTTTAAATTTTACAAGACTTTTATAAATAAGCTTGCTTCATGGGGCCTATGCATAATTTTGCCTAATTTTTTCTAAAATCAATCTAGATGGGACCACACACCGACAACGAACCCTGAATTCCTGATCACAACTTCAAAATTCGAAGATCTTCATCTTCAAATGATTCGGATCCAAAAATAACGTACATCATAAATAAAATGAAAGTCTAACAAAAAATGTATAACAAAATTCGAATAAATAAATTAACAAATAAAATAAATAATATTTCTTAAAGATATAACTTCCAACCTCCAATGAAAATTAAGATTTCATTAAGAGACCTTATTAGACCGATATAAACTGAAACAAGCCAATTGTCATCATATCTGTTTGCATATATCATGTCCCAAAAAATATGAACTATTCTTGTTTTTTTTTTTTGCCTATATTCTTTTATCTTTATTTGGCTGCAGAAATATAAACTATTTTAGTATAACACTCAGCAATATTGTCAGTGACAAAAAATATGAATTATTGTTAACACTTGAATTATGGAAGAAATAAAAACAGATTCATGATGTCATGATTGAACATTGCAAATCATAACCCTTCACATGAAGGATTAACAACGACAATTCATCTCTTACCCTGAGGGCAAAAAATAGAACCCCAAACTATGAGGTGAAACAATAAGGTGAGAAGCAAGTTATAATCTCCCTCTTGAGGTAGGATTCAAGCCCCTCACCTCTAATGGAATGTGATGCTTTTTATATAGATTTTAGGGTCATTAATAGCTACGTGATTAACTCTAATAACCTAAAACTCTAATATTAATTCCAACAGTTACATCAAAATATTTAGTTGTATTTAATTTAAAGGAAAATTATAAATAGCTCCAGTGCAAGAAACTTATTAACAAATATGTCCTATGAATTTGTGAAAATATATTCAGGTCCCTAGGACTTGGTTATAATTAATTTATCATATAAATTAACACAATACACTTGGACCTCTAGCCCTTTGACTTGCATTGATTAGCTTTGATCGACCACCAATGGTCATTGACTGGTTGCCGGTGGCCGTTGTTCAGTTACTGGCCAATGTCGACCAGTCAAAAGAATCTTTTTTTTAAAAAAATGATTTTATTGACTTATTCATATTTTAACACTTACAAGTCAAACATCATGTATTGACAAGTAGAAAAATACTTAGATAGATTGGGTGCACCACATCATTTATAGTCTGTCTAATAAAAACATAACATTTAGATGGCATTAAATATAAATTAATTCTGATATTAATGATAGTAGAAAGAGAAAATATAAAAAATTAAATGTGCATTCTGTTATAACAATAAAATCAATTTAAAAAATGTCACATAAGATTTTATTTAGATAACTTGGAGCATTTTAATTAGACAGATCACAAATGATGTGGTACACCTAGTCTACCTAAGTATTTCTCTTGACAAGTGAATATTAAAGATTTACATATCAAACTTCTTATATTTACAAGTTGACCTCTTACAATATTAATAGATTAATATTTACAAGTCAGCTTCATAGATTTATAAGTTAAATTTCACATATTTAGAAGTTAAATATCTTAACTTACAAATCTGACTTGTAAATTTGCAAACTTTAATTTTCAGATATTAAAGTATTAATATGTTGCAAGTGGTTGATTTGTAAATTGTAAGAAGTTTTAATTACCTGTAAATATTGAATATTTACTTGTTAATATGTGATGTTTGCCTGTGATCAGTTAACACTAGTCAAAAGGATGAGAGTCGAAAGGTATTTGTAGTATTTTATATGGTAAATTAATTATTACCAAGTCTCATGAGACTAAGTGGAAAATAAATTTCTTACATGGGACCTGTTTGTAATTTTTCTTTAATTTAATGGATACATTATTATGATTATGAGATTGGATCTAACACGCACTATAACTTGAGGAAAATGGAGCGAGACTATCAATTTCATAATTAGTTCCACCAAATATCAATTATCTCAGAGCATACATGAGAATGAGCCAATGAGACCTTTGATTTCTCATACGATTCTTAATATCATCTTCCACTCTTCACAAAGGAAAAAAAAAAACTTAGTTTTAAAAACATTATATTATTTTAAATAGTTAAGAATAAAAATTCTCACTAATAGTCTAGGCTATCTTGAAAAGTGAGGACTTAAGAGGAGGATGTGTGGAGGGACCCTCAATGAGAGCTTTGGCTATGTAGCGATGAGCAGCTTCAGTCAAATGAATTCCATCCCAATTAGCATAAATGGAAGGGTCAGTGCATGCCTTTGAGCCTATGTGACCACACCTCGCTGAATTGTTGAAATTGAACGGTCCACCTCCTCCACAACATGCTCTTAATAATGTCCCTCTAGTGAAACCTAATCCATTGATGAATGTGTATCATATATAGTCACTTAGGTGACAATTATATAATACTAATTACTGAATTCCAACAATATTATGCTCAATCCGTGCAGTATTATAATTAGACACCTTTTCAAAGTATCATGTTAAAAATATATGACATTTTGAACAAAGGGAGTAGCTATGATCTTACAGGAACTCATTATTTATAAATGATCACTAACAATATAATGCAGTTCAATTTTTTAGACTATGTGTAATTCAGGAAATGACCCACAACTAGTCTAACACAAATGCAAACAAGTTATATCAATTGAACATGTTTCCTATGTAATTCATAAGGCTTGATAAAATGATCCATACTATTTATTATATCTAGTGCATGGTGTTATAAATTTTATATATCACACCTCATTATCTATTTATAAATAATCTTTCGGAAGATTTTCATGTTTTTATTTTACATAAATTTGCAAATTTTATGAAGAAATAAATGTTATTTTCTAATAGAGTCATATATATACACACATATATATTGTTGAATAATATTATGGTGGAAAGAGAGATTGTGAAAAATGTTGAATAAGAAGAATCAACAGTACTTTTAAAAAGATATGATGCTTCTAACACCATCAACTAATTTTAATTAATTTTTCAATTTACATGAATTAGTTAAAATGACTTATAAATAAAAATGGAGAGAGCATTTTACATACCAAAATGTCGCGGCATATGAATGAAACGTTTAGCTGCCCCATAGTAGTCAGCGTAGATGATCCTAAGATGAGGATTCTTCTTCCTAAGAGTGTCTAGGGCAAGATTGAGCTGCTTGTTATGGAACTGAGCAAAAGCATTAAAGCTTTTCAAGCATCCATTTTGATCAAAGTCCTCTTTGTTTTGGCTCATAAACAATGTCATGTACAAAGGAGAGCATCCAACTGGCAAATTTCCTGGCACCATAAGCTCCACTGCTCCTTCCGCTATCAATTCCTATCAAATATAAAAGAGAAACAAATGTATTTTGCAAGTTTTAATTATACACATGCTTGGCTTTTGTTTTTAATATTATTGAGGACATCTTTTGAAATTATTCATATGAAATTTTGATGATCTAAGTGCTTTTATTCTTTTTCATAAAATTTTAATTTAAAAAATAATTTAAAATAAATATCATTTTTAGTTAATACTTTTTAAAAATGATTTCAATTAAAAATATAAAAAAAATAAAATCTTCTTCAATTTCGTACGAATAATCCAAATAAAATATGTACCTGTGACAAAACTTTAGTGATGTGTCTCACAATGTGATACAAAAAAAAAAAGAATCATTTTGACAAAAAATAAATAAATAAAAACTAGAGTGAGTCTTGTGCATCAGAATGTGACTTCCAACAACTTTTATATGTATATAGGTCAAGTTTGTTTGGAATTAGAAAAAAAACCGTGATGTTAGTTGAGTTTGACACTTTAGCTGTTGGAACAACATCAATTAGCTAATCATGAATGCTTTGTTAGAAAAAATATTTTTGTAGCTTTTCTTTTTTTTTTTAAAAAAAAAAAGCTATTTGGAATAGCTTACCAGCAATAGTGATAACAATAAAAAACTCTATTCCATCGGTAGGGTTGACTATATGGATTGCACAATACCATTATATTTTATCAACATCAAAATTTTTTAGATATATTTTTAACCAAAAGATTTGGAATAGGTTATAAAAATAAGCTTTTTCTAACGCATCTTTAATGTGCTTAGCTTAATTTCTCCCATCAACTCCCAACACTCTCAACTACTCTCTCTTGTTTAGCCTAGCTAAAATCATCTTTAAAAATATAAAAAGACCAAGCCAATAGTACTATAGAACCAAGTTATTATTTTTGTGATTTGTGCCAATAATTGGTACTTGTATATCATACATACACTTGTGGCTATAGTAATTGCTTCAACCACCAGAGGAACGGTAGCTAGAAGTTGATTAATGTCCCCACCAGCAAAAGCTGCGTAGTTATAGTCATTTCCACCAATCTCTCCCACCAGAAACAGCGATCTTTTCAAGTACCTATCACAATCTGTCACACGCATGCATATTTGAAAAAAATATATATATATGTTATATATGGCACTGTAAAGACTGAAATCAAATTTGTAATTAGTCATCAATTAATGTCACCTTGTCTTGTGGTGCACAGAGATTGTTTGAACTTCTTGAACCAGCCAAGCTGAACACTTAATGAATCATGTGTCCACAGTATCTTTCCAAGTCCTTTTCTGTAGAAGAATTCTGAATCAAGTGCTGTAGCTCCAGCCACAGCGAAATTGACACCGTGATGATGATGGATGTCTTGGCCTTTGCTTGGTTTCAGATATGGTGGCAAATATGGCAACCCATATGCCTCAGCTACCCAAAACAAACAAAAATCAGCAGAAAATTATGTTTAACTGATGAGGATTTATTGAAGAGACAGTGCTAACATGTTAGTACTTCGAAATCTGCTGTGGGGATCAAAATTTCTTGCACATTTCTAAATATGTGTTGAATATATATTTGGTTTTTTTTTGGGGGGAGGGGGTAATTCACTTTGGTTGTATAAATCTAACACAAATGGTTCAAATTATCTTTTGCAACTATTTTTACCAAATCGTTTTCTTTTAGCCTCTCAAGTTTATATCATGTTTCTTTCTTCTTTTTTTAATGATCAAAATATCATATTCATTTTGGTCTTTTAACATCATATTTTTTTATCCTTTAAACTTTAAAACATATTTAAAAATTTCAATTTTTCTTAAAATGATAATTAATTTAAATGAAAAATTCTTATGCATAATTTTCTAAGGAAAAAAATTCAGCTCATAGTGTCTTTATTTAGCTATCAATTTTATGTTTATTTGAAAATGTTTTGAAGAAAATTTTAAAATTATTCACTCTAAAAACAATTATACTAAACTTTTGATGAAGTATTAAAAGTTAAAGAATAAAAAAGAAACATTGTAAATTATTTTTGTCCAAGGTGGCACAATTTGCCACTATATATTTCGCAGATGTCTTATAAATTAAAATATAAAAACCATCTTGCAGACATTCTGGTGGTATACATTTCTGGCAGAAGCTAGAAAAGTTAAAATAATAGCAATCGTTTCTTCCAGAACATACCAATGTCATATTTTACTTACGCTTACAGAGAAAAATGAAATCAATTCATGTTACTGTATATAAATGTATGTGTGTTTCAGAAATTAAAGCATACCAATGAAATCAACAATGAGGCGTCCATCAGAGCAACGTCCAGTGGCATGTCTGAAGAAGGTTTGACCATAAGGAAGCTTTCCAATGACAGGGAAAGCAAGAGCACCTGAGGATAAGAAATTCCCAGTGTCACTCAGAGAGTCTCCGAAGTTGAAGATCGCCTCATATGCATGATCACTACTATTACTAGGATTTGATGAAGCTGCTCGCTCCAAAAAACCCAATAGAATGAAGAAGGATATGATCATTAAGGACATGATCTTCATGGTGCTGCTTCAAATATTAGAGTGGGAACGGGAGAAATATGCAGACACACTATAGATTTGATACTATGAAAATAAGGTTCACGATACATTTAATACTAAGGCCTGGTACTCTGGTTAGTTATTATAAGCCACGTTAGACTCACCATGTCCGTTCATACAGTTGAGCATTTAATATTGTCACTATTGGAGGACTACTTTTTCACTCCTCGTCATACGATTTAATGCTCGCTTGTACTAATTATAAGACATTTTTTAGTGTAAAATTACCCATACTAATGGAGTTTTATTAAATAAAGTTTATAATATTAATTTTTCTATAAACTTTTAAAAATACCTTTCATTAACAAGAGAGGGGAGAAATAAATTAAATTTATTTAGGGAGTGAAATAATGGGCAGAGGAACCTCTCTCCTCCATTTTTCCGTCATCAATTTTGTATTGAAATTGTCAGCAGTTCTGATTTAAAGTTATTTTTTCAACTTTTTTTTTATTTAAGATGATATTAAATCAAAAATGCTGAGAATCTCAATCCAAGGGTGAGGAAGGGAAAAGGAAGAAAAAGGAGAGTATGGGGACAAGAGGTTCCTTTCATGAAATAATAAAGGATAATATTGAAATAATTGTCACTAATGAAAACTTATTGTTTTCAAAACATCTTATACTCCTTTAGGTCCTTATTATAGGCTGCACTCTAAAAGAATTTTTTGATCCTTAATACAAGGCTCTTGATGGGTATTAATTATATTTTTTTAATATTATCACTATTTAAACACATTAACTATGAGAGAGATTGCAACACAAATTTTGAAAATTTTCATTCAAATAGGAATAAAATTGGAAGTTTATTACGTTTTTAGAAAAAAGTAATAACTTAACTACCTTTTCTTAGTTCTACTGAGGTAGATAGAAGTGCCTTATGCTCTTTTCCGTCCAATTTACAAGGCACTTTTAGACAAAATCATTCGTACCAATAAAGTTCATTAAATACATTTTATAGCATTTTTTTTCAAAAAAAAAGTATAAACTTTTGAAATGCCCTTGATTAATACTCTATTTTTGAAAAATATTAAAGAGAGAGAATATATGTAAATGATAATATTAAAAAAGTATAATTAATTAAACTTTATTTTTGCCAAAGTGTTTTATATTTTGGGACATCAAATTTCTCCCAAAAAGTATTTTATAATTTGGAATGGCGAGAGTAATAGGGACTGGAGTAAGCATATATTTTGGGATACCAAATCACCTTTAGAAATTGTCTTATAAATTGGGATAAAGGGAGTAAGAAGCATGCAATTAATTATAGTGTGGAGATTGTGTTTTGATGAGGTGGACCACAAAGGACCTTGAAAAAATATTCACACTTAGAATGTTTAATATCATGATCTTTTAAAATCATTGTGATTAATTATAATTTCAAGCCGGATTGCTTTTAAAACTACCTGTCGAGTACGGCATTTAATGCTTTTGTCCAATGATTAGTTGAATGTTAGAAGTACTTCGATCTGTCAATAAATGCTAAGCCACGTTTCAGGGAAATTCTCTGTTGTCAAGTGCTTTCTCTAGTCTTATTTATGGGCTATCTTGGTTCTTGACATCTAGTTTTTCTCATGCCTATATATTTAGAAATCACATTACAAAACCTATCACTATCAAAAAATGATTTTTGGTAGTGATTTTTAGTGACGATAAAAAAAGTCGCTATTAAAAAAGTGCCTTTGATTGTAACAATTAGAAGTCACTACTAAAAGTCATCGCCAAGACTCAATTTTTAACAGTAATTTTTATATGTCATCATCAAAAATACTCTTTTAGTGATGACTTTTAATACCACCAAAAATATTTTTGGCAGGAACAGTTTGTTGCCATCCAAAGTATTTTTATAAAAAAATTAAAAATAATTTATATAATTACAATTGTTGCCGCTAAAACTATTTTTATAAAAAATAATTTATTTAATTATTTTTAGCTTTTATAAAAATAATTTAAAAATTAAAAATAATTATGTAATTACATTTAATGGTGATAGTTAGTTGCCAGCAAAAGTATTTTTATCAAAAATTCTTTAAAAATAAAAATAATTTATATAATTATTTTTAGTAGCAACAATTCATTGCTGCCAAACATATTTTATAAAAAATAATTTAAGTAATTATTTTTAACAATGACAGCTTGTCGCCATCAGTAGTATTTTTATAAAGAATAATTAAAAATTTAAAATAATACATGTAATTACTTTTAGAGGCGACAGTTAGTTGCCAATAAAAGTATTTTTATGAAAAATAATTTATTAAAATACAAAATTTTATGTAATTATTTCTAGCAATGACACTTCATTGCCGCCAAATATATTTTTATAAAAAATAATTTAAAAATAAAAAATAATTTATGTAACTACTATTAGTAGCAATAGTTTGTCGTTAGTATTTTTTATAAAAAATAATTTATGTAATTTACATTTAGTGATTACATTTATTCACCACTAAAAATATTTTTATAAAAATAATTTATATAATTACTTTTAGAGGTAACACTTTGTTGCCACCAAAAATATTTTTTTATAAAAAAACATTTTATATAATTACTTTTGTCTCCAAAAAAAATATTTTTATAAAAAAATTACACAATTACTTTAAGTATTTTCTTAAAAAATGAATAAATTTAAATTATATCAAATAATTTATAAAATTTTTATTAGAAAATATTTTTTGTGAATTATTTTAAAAACTTAAAATGAAATAAAATCATTCAAAAGATATTTATGGACTTAAATTTCTTATTTTATATATAGAATGAGAAATAAATTATATCTAAGATCAATAGTGATTACTTTAAAAAATAATGATATTGTTAAACTAGTATTTTAATAATAATCTTATGTTAATAATTACATTTGAAAAAAATTCTTATGGATTATTTTTTAATAATGATCCTATTAAGCTAGTATACATAATCAAGCTAAGTTATATATAAATTATAAATAAATTATTTTTTAATAATTTCTTATGGATTATTTCAAAAAAAAACTTCTTTAAATTATATTCATGCTAATTTATACATAAATATTTACTTACATACATAGATATAAATAGCATTGGTATGTTCAAGTTGTATAGATGTTGTAAGATACAAATGGCATAGTGAAATGTTAAATTATAAAGAAGTTACTAATAAAATTTTTATAATTGATTATTACTAAGAAGAATGTGAAAAATTATTTAAATATGCCTTATTGTTATGAGGTAGAGAATAATTAAAAGTTAGCTAGATCAATCACACATGAGATCTTTATAATTATTTTGTATTGTAAAAGTTGTTAGTATTCATTAAAATTCAAAATTGTTAAAAATGACTGTTAAAAAATTTATATGGTTAAAATAGATTTTTTGTTAACATATTTTTTTAAGATAATTGAAAAATTATAGATAAAATATATATTCAATAAAAGAAGGGGAAGCATTTAACTTGGAAAAAGATAAAAATTTAATTATTTATTTATTAATTTTTGAGAAAAATATAGAGGAAAAAAGTAAAAAATTTAATCATGTATTGTGTTATGCCTTGAAGCTTCCATATCTTTTGGTGTTATATCATCAGGCTTCCAAGTAGTCTAATTTTAATTTTCACTATCACAGAATTATTTAAATAAGACGCTCAATACATAATGACTATTTAAAATAAGTAACAAATAAAATAGGTGGATAAAAATTGATGGTTTTTAACTGTTAAGTAAGGGTGGCTATAATATATGTTGCACCATTACTTCACTGAAAAAATGACTTTTAGTGATGATTCTAAAAGGTTACCATTGAAAATGAATAATTTATGGTGACAATAAAAATTGTCGCTGAAAGTTTGACTTTATATGGTGACATACATTCAAAGTCGCCGCTAAAAGGATAACTTTCTGTGACAATAATATAAAGTCACTGTTGATTGTTAGAATTTTAATGGCGACAAGTGCATGTCGCCACAGAAGGTTTAAGTTTTAGCAGCGACATATAAGTCACTGTTGAAAGTTTGATTTTTCATATTATTATCATAATTTTTTATTTTTTGTTTAATCTAATATGTAACATTCTAAGACACTAATTTTATTGTATTATTGTAATTTTATAATGAATATATAAAATAATATATTTTATGGTTAAATTGTAACTTTAAAATAATAACATTATTTTAAAATAAGGTTTATTTCATCTTAGTGGCAAAATGATGCCACATGACATGAGGTAGGGGCGCCACATGGAAGAGTGACGTGGCACCATATGGAGGGCGACGTGGCATCATGTGAGTAGATAAACTAGCATTGTTTTTAGCGGTGACAAATGTCACCGTTGATGCATAATATTTAGCGACAACCAAATAGTCACTATTGATGTGTGGTTTCTGTAGCGATATTTGTCACCACCAATTTTTAACTTTTAGTGGCGATTATCTTTCTACGGCAATAAATTTTCTTTTCTATGGTAATATTTATCATCATCGATTCTCAACTTTCAGTGGCGACTTTATTCACCGTAGATAGAATCAACGATGAGAGCTATCGTGGTGACATTATGGTGACTTTTTGTCACTATTGAAAGTCAATTTTTTTGTAGTGCTTGACAATTAAAAACTATCAAGTATTGGGGTATTTTGTGTTAGTATTTTTTCATCCGGTTCTTGTTCTTTAGATTATTCAAATTGTTTAATTTGTTCATGTTAAATATGTTGGGATTGTTGTTGGATGAGAATTGTAAACTTGATTGTTTAATTTATTTTAATATTTGAATTATGAATGAAATTATGTATAAACTTATTAAAGTTGTTTATTTTAAATTATAAAGTTATTCAAAAGTATTCCCTATTATCTTGAAATTGACTCTGTTAAAAATTTTAATGAAAGTGCAAACTTATGTAGATTGAGCCAAGATAAGATTCTGATTAAAAAGTATAATTCTTTTGCCAATTGAACTAAGCCTATATAATGTTCTTGATCATCTTTCTATTTTGATTATGAAATATTCACTTAGATTTTTAATTTAGATTTTTTTGTTTTGCATTTACTTTTAGTT